TGGTCCCCATGGTTCCCTCTAGATATTCTCTGTGCCATGGCTTCCTTAACTCGGGACCTTAGAATTAGCTTATAACATACTGCTTCTGCATGGATGACTTGTTTAAATTACAAATTACAATATCAACAGCACTAATGTGCTACATAAGCAGAGTGAGAATTTGCCAGAAAGTCCTTGAAGAGAATAGTTAAAATGGGTGGCTTTATTCGTGTACAATGTTGCCATTCTGTTTTTGAAAACTGTTTTGTTTCATGGTTTTTAAACTGACTAATGGAGATGGTAAAAATAAAGAGCTCAAACTAAATAAAAACCATCATTAGAGGGAACAAATTTGATGGGGGAAGTTGCCACTAGGTAGGTTGTGTCTAGCTTTGAGAAGATGGGCAACTCTTCCTCATACTTAATATTTAATTTTCATAATGGGCTCCTTCTTCAATTATTTATTCATTCCCCACTTGTGCCAAGCTTAGCTCTTTACATATCTTTACACGTATTGTCCCTAATCTTCACAACAATTTTGCACGGTAAGTATTAGTCATTCATTTGTTTGAGCAACAAATATTTTCGTGTTAAGTGGTTGTTATGAGCCTGGCTGGAGCTAGGTGATGGAAATAGAACAGTGAAGAAGCAATTTGATTTCCTTGCCCTTAAGGGATTTTCCATTGTCGGATGAGAAAGACAGACAAATAAACAGGTCATTACAATGCCTTGTTCTTTTTTTTTTTTAAAGATTTTATTTTTTTCCCCTTTTTCTCCCCAAAGCTCCCCGGTACATAGTTGTATATTCTTCGTTGTGGGTCCTTCTAGTTGTGGCATGTGGGACGCTGCCTCAGCGTGGTCTGATGAGCAGTGCCATGTCCGCGCCCAGGATTCGAACCAAGGAAACACTGGGCCGCCTGCAGCGGAGTGCGCGAACTTAACCACTCGGCCACGGGGCCAGCCTCTTGTTATATTCTTATACACTCTTCAGGGGGTGTATAAATTCGTGCAGATTTTTTGAAGAACAATGGTCTTACCTTTTGACCTTGTCATCCCATCTAAGAATCTTTCCTATAGAAATACCTGCTCACAATTGAAAAGACATTTGGCGATGACAAATGTCTTTGTACTTGCGGCATTGTTCTAATAACAAAACATTGAAAAAGCTTGTTGGCACGAGAATGGTTAAATCATTATGTTATATACATTCATATACTGGAATGTTATACAACATTAAAATGAATAAAATAGATCTGTATGTGTTGACACAGCTATCTCCGATATATTGTTAAATGACAAAAGCGTGTTGTATAATAGGAACACATTGCCCTAAAATAATAATCGGAAAGAAAAGGGAAAAAACGTTCTGCAAGAGGCACACTGGATTCTTGGCTCTGGTCCCTTTAGGTAGAGGGTGGGGGTGGGGAGGGGCGAACAACTTTTATATATTACTGTATTATTTCAGTTTGACAAAATAAACATGAGTCCTCCTGAAATATTTTAAATATCAAATACATTTTTAAATAAAATGATAGATGCTAGAGCAGAGTTATGTCTAGAGTTCTGTGGGGACACAAAGGACCCAGACTGGAGGTGGGAGACCGGCAGAGAAGGCTCTGGAGGAGGGAATGGCCTTGTCCAGTTCAGGGTGTGCATGGTCAGCCATGCAGGGGAAACTGAGAGAACGAGAGCTTCCTGCTCAGGAGCATGCCAGAGGCTTCGAGTAGGCAGCATTGGAGCTGGCCACACCCGTGCCTTACCAGCCTGCCCAGCTTGTCCTCGGTTCTTCTTCCCTTCGCCTCCACAGTGCATCAGCTGCTATTCCTGAGTACTTCTCACATTCCACCTCTTCTGTCTGTCCCGCTGCCTAATTCAGACTTCTCATTTCTCACCTGGACAATTGAGAACATCCCTTAGAGGGTATCTTGACCCCTTACTGTGTCCCATGACTCCTCCCCTGGTCTGTCCTTCACTTTGCTGAGTGACCTAAAAATCAGCAGTTTTGCCTCTGCTGTATTCTTTCTTAAATGTTTTCAGTGGTCGTTTATTGGTTCTGGGATCTAATCTACCCTTCTGAAGCAGGCATACAGAAGCCCTGCCCGCCTCTCCTGCCTTCCTCCCATAGTAACACTTTATTTACATTATCTGGAGTTATTTTCATTTCTTTACAAATGCTACTTTTCTTATCAAACAGAGGATGTATGTAGGTAAAGAAAGAAAATCCATGATGTGCATTTAGGAGTTGGTTGTTGGCCTGTTAACTTGCAAATATTCTGACTAGTTATCCCCCTTTCTGGGAGTTCATGTCTGTAATTTCACATGATTTTGAGGTAACAATTTAGAAATTAATACATTTCAGGGAAAATCATCTTCTTAATCTCCGTGGGGATATTTTCTTCTGTAAATATTCTGGAATAGATATTTCTAATGGCAGTCTCCACAAAGAGGACTTGAGAATCTGGCATTAATTTGTAAACTTGTCTATTCCAAATCCGGATAGACTCCACCTTTATAGAATACACACTGTTCTAAAAACACATTGACTAAACAGACTTTATTTGTTTTGGCTAAACTTGGAGTTAATGGATGGAGTTGTACAATATGATAGCCACAAGACTGAATGACAGTCCTTAGAGAGTTCACTTCAAGATGTGCTGCAAATGATCCTTCCATCCTCCTCATCCACTGAATTTGTGTCTTTATGCTGTTTTTCTATTACTGAATAGTAATGAGTAATCCTTTTTAATAAATAGTAGGAGTTGGTTTCGGCTTGTTGATTTTCAGAAATGTTTGTACTTTAGAAATTACTCAATTCAATTCAGGAGTAAAGTAATATACCATCGTCTGGCTCCCTCTGGTGGACAACTATATGAAAACATCAAACTGCAGTCTTTTTTGGAGGGGGACAGTTGTGAACAGTTCCAGTTATTGGTAGGAATAGGAACAGAAAATGCATTCTTGTAGATGCATAATAATTATTATAGAAAATATTCCCAAGGGATAAATGCATTTCTGTTAAAGTAAATAATAGCAATAGTAAAATACATAGCAATATTAATGCTATTGCTATTTTTCTTGTTATTAAGTAGTGACACCGCAGGGACCACAGTGTGGAATAGAATCAGAGGCAGGTTTCGCCCTGTAGGTTTCCACCAGTGCCACATCAGAATAAGACTCATGCTAAAATTCAACAATGGAGTTACTTCATGAGTCTCAATATTACTCCACAAATTATTCCAGAATCTCCCAAAAGCTTTTCACTCCATAATGCATAATTTTGGAATTTTAGCGAATGAGTGTTTTTATCTTGAATCAGTTTATCTTGATACATTTATTATTGGTTCATTCATGATCTCCTGGATTTACAGACTCATTGAAGACGCTTTATCTTTATTATGGGAAGCTAATCGGTAAGTTTTATCTAGGTGGTTGTGGTTCACTTTCGTATCAAATGTTCAACAAGGTTAAACTGGGAAGTAGTTGCTAAAGTCTTTCTGTGAAGTTTTATTTGTATATAATAACTATTTTATGTAATAGTAAAAGTTCGTAATTATCGAGTTAAGCATTTGATGGGCATTGTCTCGTCTGATTTTTTCGGCAACTCCATGAGGCAGGTAGGTAGTTGTTATCCCCACTTTATAGAGGCTGGTAAAGGTGAGCTCAGCTGAAAACTGGTGAGCCGGGCTCGTGCAGGGCTTCTTACTGCAGAGCTGTGGGTTTCTAACCATAACTACGTACAACGTGCAACCCCCCGAAGTAGGTAAGAGGTAAGTGCCTGTGTGGCTAATGCCCTGTGACACGTCTGCAGAGTACTGGAGGCTTGCCTTTCATGTTTCCATCTTTGGACTGAGGAATTAGAAGCTTACTTCTACTCAGAGATAGTTTTGCCTTTTTTCCTTTTTTTCTCATTCTGAATAGGACTTATAGTAGAACCTCTTTAAGTTTTGTTTAGTTTTGAGAGTTAGGAAAAATCATATCTATCATCATAGAAACAGGCTTCATGAGAAAAATATGTTTAGCTCATTGATTTTTCTCACTAACTCTTTGAAAGAGATGATCTTAGGCATAAAAGTGAGAAGGAAGGGGAAAGTGGGCAGGTACTAATGCTGAAACTATAGCAGCTACGTTCAGGATTAGGTATTGAAGAGCTTCGTAAGGAATCTTTGAAAGAGCTACAGGCCATCAAGGGTAACGTAGGAAACTCTTTTTCTGAAAACTCTCAGAATTAGAATAAGGTAATTTTCTTAAAGTTAGCAATTGTAAAGAATAGCTACCATTTAAATATTTTAAATATGTTATCTTCTTAATCCTTACAATAATCTAATGATTATTAATAATCTATTGTTACTGCAGGCAGTGTCCAGATGAGAAAACTGACGCCCAGAGAACTTAAGTAGTTTGCCCAAGGTTATATGGTTAATAAATGGCAAAGCTAGCATTTGAACTCCGGTGATCTGGCTCAAGAGCCCACACTCAAAACCGCTTTGCTGTACGTCAGTGCTGTCCAATCGACTTTCTGTGATGGTGGAAGTGTTTGATGTTTGTGGAGGCCAATACGGCAGCCACTAGCCACATGTGGCTACTGGGCGCTTGAAATGTGGCTAGGGCAGCTAAGGAACTTAATTTTTTGTCTTCTAAATTTTAATTAACTTAAATAGCCTGCTGTGGCTTGTGGCTGCTGTTTTGGACAATGCACCTTTACAGGATCTTTCAGCATCTGTAGAAGTGGAGATAGAAGACCTTCAGGATTACCTAGTCTAACTCTTTGTTTTACTGGTAAGGAAACTACAAAACAATGGATTAGTAATCTACTTAGTAATAAAGTTGAAGAAAGGGACAAAATTGTAAGCCAGGTATTTGTACTTTTCAATCACAGCTCTTCCCATTCTGTACTTCTTTGGCATCTGCAAATTTATATTTCTGCCGTCATTGTTAAATTAGATTGTAAAACTACCATTTTGGGAAAAAAATCTTATCTTCTCTGAAATACATGTCCAATGAACACTCTACTCTCTTCTCAGGTTATAGAAACATTATCGCGGCTTTCTCGAACACCTATAGCATTGGCCACAGGAATCAGGTAAGCTTGTTTCTCTGTGGTTCAATCAAATGATTATTTATTGGATGGTTGCTGTTTGCAAAGCATCTCATTCATGCAGAGTGTCTGGTTTATAAGCACCCAACACATGTAAGCAAGAACTTATTCGTAGATATGAATAAGACACATTGGTTAAACCTTGTTCTCACTTCACTTGTGACTGTCACCAATATGGTTCATTTTTTTAACTTCCTCCAACATTTCTATACATGTGATTTATGAAGACAAACACAAATGCTTAAGTAAATAAATATTTTAGAAGATGTTGTAATATATTTATTTCCTGTACACTATAACAATAACTCACAACTTTTAGGAGTTTAAGAAATAATCAGACAAGTATAAAATGCTATGTGTACAAGCCTATGTATTGAAAGTTTGATACTAAATGAAAAACTTGAAAGTAAATTGGTTAAACACATTATGCCATCTCCGTGCAATGGAGTATTATGCAGTCAGTAGGCACGTAAATGTAGATGTGGATGTTGTGTTGGGCTTTTTCTGTTTAAAATACTACATACTTAAGTTAGATCAAATAGAAAGTTGTATTATTAGTAACATTAGAAATAAATAAAAACAGTTTCAGTAGCCCCTAGCCAGCCTATATGGAAATGGAATGGATTTCACTTTTTACCTTGTTTCCTTAGGGCTCCATACTTCAGTCTCCAGCCATTATGTGTCTCTATGACCCTGTGTCTCTTCCTCTGTTGCTTCCATTTTTCTGTATCCAGCTCATAATTCAAATTCTAAGGGAGAGGATCCAAGCACACCTTACAGGACTGACCAGCAGTCACTGGGCAGCCCAGTTCCTGGGTCCAAAGCATAATGACCTCAAGGAGGACACCTTGCAGACCCCTTCTCAGAAAGGGGCCATACGTTTGGCAGCTTTCTACAGAAGAAGCCTGTAGGCTGGATAAATGTTCAACACCTTATCATTTACTCTTGAATGCATGCTTCTCTCTCCATGTCAATAAATATTTTACGTTATATGTAAACAGCAGATTTAGAAATAGCATGATTCTATTTTTATGTATTTATGTATTTTTTATTCTGAAAGGTTATACGTCAGAAGAATTTTTTCCCTTTTTAATTATTCTTATCTATAGTTTCAAATTTTTCTACAATGGACTTGTATCGGTATAAGAACATAATAAAATGTGCCTAAATTTATTTTAAAAAAGATTTTCAAACTTTGGCATTTCTCACACATTTTAACTTATTTGAAAAATGTACATTCCTCAAATGTCTCAGGTAATTAAGTTAGTCCATAAACCAGTGTGGAGATCTGCTTTTCAATTTATTAAATGTAATTATTTAGTAATTAGTGCTTGTTATTTTGATAGATCTCTTGTTTTTGTGAAGCATATGACATACTGGCTGCATGTAAAGAAACTTTTGGCACTCTAGTCTAATTACTGTGTTTTGTTAGACATAAATTTAGAGCGTTGTATTGGTGTTATGAAAAAAGTTCATAGTAGCATGAGGCAAACGAGGAAGCCAATGGCTAGGAAAAGGGGATAAATTAAAGTGATTTTCTTTGAACAGGGGACAGAGAAAACACCCTACTCTCCCTGAGGTCTGGTTGACTCATTTGTCCAATAAATGAAACTGAAAAATATAACTTAAACACCTTAAAGTCTGAGTAGAAAAGTATATCATGGTCAATAATCATATAGGAAGGGTACGATATTTTTGCCTTCTAATAATTTTCATCTATACTAATGAACTGAGTCATGCAAGGATGATTGTTACCAAATCATTTGTCTGGCAGATCAGACTCCATAGGTGAAAAGAGACAGTGCGGAAGGCAAGGGTGCCCGCGAGGCTGCCCGTTCTCTGAATGGGGAGCTGCGGTGCGTGCTCCCAGGTGAGCCTTCAGGTGTGTGGCTGATGGAGATCAGAGAGGCACATTAGCGTGTCCACACCTGCTCAGGTGACTGCGGTGACCAGCTTAATTCCTGCAGATAGTTTGCGGTAGCAGATGCCAGAGCCTCCCTGGGGGACCCCAGACACAGCTGCAGGGCAGGCACTTTGGGAGAAGCCCCAGACGTTGTGTTAGACATGGTGACTGATCTGACCAGTCTGGCAGCAGACGAGCTTACACATTTAGTGAGAAGTAAATGCCCAGCCTAGCTGTTTCTTGTTCACCCTTATTTTTTTTTTTCCTTCCCTCCTAGGCCTTTCCCAACAGAAGAAAGTGTTGATGATGAAGACATCTACAAAGGCCTTCCTGATTTAATAGAGTATGTTGAGCATTTTCGCAAAATTAAACAAACCACCTCCAATTTTTGCATCCTTTGTGGAGTTTCACTGTGGATGTTAAAATAGCTCTCGGAAGGGGAAAAGTGGCTTAATGATTAAGACGTGTAAGAAGTAACCTCAAACTAGTGATGGAAAGTTTCACAAGCAAATGTGCTTCCACTGGCCTGGAGTTCTCTTGAGTGTCCCACACTGTGCGGGTCCCTCTGAAGAAGCAAGAAACATACTGCAATGCAGTAAAATTTGGAAGTTACTCAAAGGCATAATAGAGGTAGTAGATGAAACTGGAATTAGATAGTTAAGGAACAATTAAAGAGAGAAATAGAATCGACTACTGGAGTTGTAGGACAGGTAGTGCGTGCTGTGTAATTTCAAGGAAGAGCGAGGTACCTGTGGCCTGGAGTTATTTCAGGGATGTTTCATTAGATGGTGTTTACTCCGAACAGAGAATCCTTTTGGGCTTTATTGTTTAATAGTCAGCAGAGCAAGAGGTCCTTGCAGCAGATTATCTTCTGTTGATTGAGTGACTCGTGCAGATTACAAATAGATATAAAACAGGATTCTCCCCCCTCAAGGAACTGATGACAAAGATCAGGTGTGTTTGCGAAGAATTGTAATAAGAAATAGGTCATGCTCCAAGAGAGATTCAGGTGCTGTGGAAAGTCATCCATTCATCCATCTTGATATGCCAACGCTCTGAGCTGTCTTGCTTTAGGACTTTTACACTTGCTGTTCCTTCCGCCTCTGTGGCTGATCCCTCATCATTCAAGTCTTTGTCCAGATGTCCCTTCACAGAGAGGCCTTCCGGACCACCCTTTCTAAAATTGTCACCACCCCTTACCTTGCTCTGTGTTTTCCTGGCCCTTACCACTGCCTGAGACCATCCCTGTTGGCTTCATTTATTCTGTCTCCTCACCAGAAGGTCAACATCATGAGGTCAGGGACTTTACCTTGTTCCTGGCTATCTTCCTAGGACTTCAGTGTCTGGTGGATGTATAGTGGGTCCTCAATGAACATCTGTCTTCTGAATGAATAAGCCAAAGCTGCATTAAGTAAGCACCTACTGTTTGCCAGGCATTATGCTTCAGGCCTGAGCTATCTAGCTAGTTCATAAGAGTTTATTGGGTAGCCGTTTCTGTGCTGGCCATGTCCCATGCACTAGCTCATGAAATACCACAACATTATGAGATTGTTACTTTTCTCATCACAATTTACAAAGGAGAAAACCAAATCCTGGAAAGCTAAGAAACTTGCTGAAGCTCATGTCGCTAGTAAATAATAGTCTTTGAAATTGAACTGAGTCAGTTGTTGTTCCAGAGCAGAGGCTCTAAGCACTGTACTGACTTCCAGAAGCACCTTGACCTACTCCTTTAAGGACTTTCACTAGAGGAACAGAGGAGAGCGCTGACTGGAGCCACAGCGATGGTCAGCAGCTCTTCCCAGAGTAGGTGGCATCTGGGTGAGCCTTGAAGTCTTATAATTTTAAATGTATGTTAAGAATAGTTTCTTATCTTGTCTTAAAATCTCCAAGAACTCTCCAATCTTAAGCAAGATCAATTAATGCTGATCGTCTCATTGAATTGGCTACAGTCTTCATAAAGTGATTGTAAGATTACTGGTAATATAATCGAATTCTTTCAAGTTTTAAGAAGAATATAATATTTCTAGTGCTGTGATCTTTTTTTTTTTTTTTTGAGGAAGATCAGCCCTGAGCTAACATCTGCCACCAGTCCCCTCTTTTTGCTGAGGAAGACTGGCCCTGAGCTAATATCTGTGCCCATCTTCCTCTACTTTATATGTGGGACGCCTGCCACAGCATGGCTTGACAACCTGTACTAGGTCCTCACCCAGGATCCTAACCAGCAAACCCCGGGCCGCCAAAGTGGAATGTGCGAACTTAACTGCTGTGCCACCGGGCCAGCCCCAATGACGTTCTTTTTTAAACTCCACCAATTGTCACTTACACCTACTAATTTTTATAGCCTTCCCCCATCTTGTTTTGTTGATGTCAGGATAAACCCTACTAGGATGCATTCCTAGCTGAGTTGGAGAAAACTTGGCATCCTGAATCAGCTGCTCTGAGATGTCAGCTCATGCTCTATGAGATGCAGTCTGTTTCAACTCTCCATCTGGTGGCAGAAGGTCTAAATGTGGTGTTATTCCTGCAAATGCTTGCTTTTGAGTTTGCTATGACACTTGATGTTTAGTCTTAGCTTTGTTATAATCTCTTTGGGCTCATATTCTTAACTATAATTTTTGGGGGTCAATGCACCCAAAAGGAAGCCCTTGGAACAAATGCTGGCCTACTCACCACTGCAGAGGGAATCATTCTGTCCTCAGTTGGAGAGAAGCAGACACAGGAGGAATGGAGATGGTGTGAAATGACTAAAATGTAGTTCCTTGCTTTTCCTACTTTTATGGTCAGGGTGTCAGACATGCCCATTTATAGGTGACCTAGACACAGGAAAACTAATAGAGATTATTGTTGATTTATTGACCATTTGAAGAATCGCTGTTCCCCTCCTCCAGCTTCATTTTATGCAAATCAGAAATTACTGACCAAACTGTGAGCAAGAAAAGCTGCTTTAATATGGGATTAAATTGCAAAACCCAAACTGCATGCATGTGTGTCACTCCTACAATTCTTAAAGAAAAATATGTGTGAATTGACACAATATGTGCCTCTCCCCTCATGGGAAATAGTTAAAAGCAAGACTTCAGCAAGATGAGTTCTTTTGGGAGGAGGTTGGGTTAGAAGGTCAGAGGCAGGAGAGCTGGGATTAGGAGTGTCAGAGAAATGAATTTCACAGCCTGTCTTCCTTCTGAGCAGGATCCCTTTGATGCTAGAACTTGTTCCTTCATCGTTTCTTATCTCAGCTCCCTCATGAACTCATCAGACCTTCCTATCCTTTGATGTGTTGTAGAGAGTACTCAAACTAATTTGACTGCCCCACTGTTCTCTGGTTAGATTGCCTGCCTAAGCCCCTCAGTATGGAAATTCTGGAACTGCCGATATGACTCACCCACCATCTGCTCAGTTTTCCAGAGTAGAAAGCTGAGAAGCATCCATCACTCCTTTCCCCTCTCTCCCTAATTCTGAGTCTCCATGTCTGGTTGACTCTACCTGATTTATCTCCTAAGTCTGTCTTTCTCTCCTCATTCACCTTTACTGTAGTTACGGCTCTCAACATCTCTCACTCATAGTATCTCGTTTCTTAGCTTACTGATCTCCCTGCTTGTCTTCTTGCCCCCTCCAAATCAGAACCCCTGTTATTCCCAGGTGCCCAGGTAAGGCTGAGCTCACAGAGTACAAGGCCCTTTGCAGTTTGGTTTCAACTCCTCTGTCTGGGGCTCCCCTCACTCATCTGGTCACACTGAATGGGGCTCCGCTCCTCGCACTGCCAGGTTCTTCACACCTCTCTGCCTTTGCACTTGTTGGTGTCCTTTGTATGGAATGTTCTTCCTTCTTCTCATTCAGTATATGTCATCTGTGACATATGTGACAGATGTCTGAGGGCAGAAGCTATGTCTGCCTAGTCTGCAGCTGTATCTCCTAGAATGTAGTATTTATTCAGTAAATACTTACTGAATAAATTGATAAACACATTCAAGATCCAGTCCAGATGTACTATCTTCCGTGAAGCCTTCCCTGCCTTCCTTGGAGTTATTCTTACTCTTTCCTCTGTTCCCATATTCTGCACTCATCTCTTTTGATGCATTTCTAGAATTATGTACTTACGTGCTGTTCTCCGCACTGGACTGTGGGAGAGTCCTTGGATCTTCTTGAGGTATGCATTCTTAGGACTGAAGAGTCTGGCACTCAGTAGGTTCTTAGTAAATGTCTGTTGGGTCGTGGGATGGGTGAACAAGTAACCCTGGAATGACTGTTTCTCGGAGCAGAGTTACCTGAAACTTCTGTTACCACCAGATCTCTCTCCCTTAGGGCACCTTCCTTTCTTCTGGGTGTTTGACAGTTCCTTCCTGTCAGATGCCTCCAAATAATCCTTCATGACAAACATAGACAACCTTGTGATTGCATCTACTTTGAAAAGTGCTCCAAGTTGCAGAGTGACATTTACAGTTACAGTGTTTTTATTTTTGTACATATCAATTTATAATGTTCTGTGTGCACAGGCCCAAGAGAGATACTAAGGGCTGACAGTATCGAAGGAGTTGAATTTCTTTTTCAGAGAGATGGTAATGCTTCTTTCTAACATGTCTAAATTTATTAATCTCAATTCTTCAGGATTATTAGCTAATAGGAGATATTTATAGAAGTCTTGAACTGAAAGGAAAAACTTAGCAGATATTAGCAGAACATGCAGCGGTTGGAATCAGCTGTTTCCACTTTGACTGATAGGTTTACAATCTTATATGAAGAGTTTAGGAAAAATATTTCAATCAGTCACTAAGTGCTCATGCAAGCTTTAAAACTAAGGATTATTTTTAACTGTCAGAAGACAAGCAGAGGATTTTAAATAGTTTTAAAAAATGTCTTGGGCTGGCCCTGTGGCATAGTGGTTAAGTCTGGTGTGCTCCATTTCAGTGGCCTGGGTTTGCACGTTCAGACCCTGGACATGGACCTACACCACTCATCAGCCATTCTGTGGTGGTGACCCACATATAAAGTGGAGGAAGATTGGCTTAGATGTTAGCTCAGGGGTAATGTTCCTCAAGCCAAAAAAAAAAAAGAAGATTGGCAACAGATGTTAGCTCAGGGGTAATCTTCCTCAGCATAAAAAGAAAAAAAAAGTCTTGCAGCCTTGGGACCATTTCTTTAAACAAAATGAAAACAAATAAAACAGATAAAAGCAGAATCTGGCTGAAGGAGGCTCTGTGGGTTCCAGCCTCTGAGTGGGCTAGAAGGAACATGGTTTGAAAACTACTGCATTAGATATTGGCAATAATAACCTTGCAAAAACGGACGCTTTTAAAAGACTATAACAGTTAGATCCTCCCCAATTCCCCTGTCCTCTCCATATTATACCCTTTAATGTAGATGGAAACTGAGGTCTTAAAAGATGAAAAATGGGAGGCAGTATGATCGAGTGATTAAAACACTCAGTGTGTAAGGCAGACTTGGTTTTAAATCCTGGCTCGGCCATGGACTAGCTGTGTTATCTTGGGCTGGTCAAATAACCTTTTGTTCTCTCAACTTCCTTATCTCTATAATGGGTCAAATAATAATGCTTACCTGATAAGAGGTAGGCAAATAATAATGCCTACCTGGGCCTGGCCAACTGAGTGAGATAATATATGCAGAGCGATCATTTTCATTTATGTGCTTGTACATAGTAAGTGCCCAGTGAGTGTTAGTTGTCACTTCCATCGTTGTTGGATTCTGTTGTTGTATGTCATTGTTCTTATCAGGAGGGACAGAGCTGTAATGCAAGCTTTTTGACTCTTTCCACTGATTCCACTATTTCCTCTCTGGATTTTCTGCTAAAATCCGGTAGGCTATGTATAGCTGTTACATTTACTGCGTAATAGAAAATGACCTTTATATCGTATCCTTTGTTTTAGTGAAACCCGCGTGGAGGATGAGGAAGGTCTCTATGACTGTGTTTATGGGGAGGATGAAGGTGGAGAAGTCTACGAAGACTTAATGAAAGCGGAGGAAGCACACCAACCTGTAGGACTTTTACTTGCCTTGTTTTTAAGTTACCTTGAGTATTTTATTAGGAAAGTGATTCTTGAAAGACTAATTAATATAATTGTTTAACTTCTGCTGAATTAGTTTTTTGTTTTTCTTTTAACCTTTACTTGCTTGTCACTGTATAACCGTGGCTTGTTATTGCATTTGGAGGACATAAACGTGGCATTTTACAGTTCAAAGCAACCGTAGGGAATCTCTGGCGTAATCCTTTCATTTTACCAGTGAGGAAGGCAAGTTTGACATGCCACCCAGTTAGATAATGCAGAGTGGCAATATGACATAATTTTAGGGGATCATGAAATTATATTGTTATGAAAGGAAATCTTTTCTTACAAAGCAGGTAAGTCTTCTTTAAATTTGATGTAGCATAAAAATATATGTTAAAGAATATTTCTTCACAGTTTTTAGGGGTTGATGTGAGGTATTTTTTTCTTTTCTTCCATGATAGGTCTGCTAGCATTTTTACTATTTTATAAGCATATTTTCAGATATTGTCATAGTCAATATGAGCCCTCAAAGCTTTTTCTGCCATTAAAATATCTAAAAGATTCATAAAGAATTACTTTGAATTGTTTTCTTATCTATAATTTGAGACCAAAAAAACCATCAGTTGTTTAGGCTTTTATTAATATGATCTTCTTTTAAACTCAAGACATTCTTTATCAGCTAAGTGGTGGTTTAGGTTTCTCTGGGGCTTTGATGAATTTGCTAAAAGGCTGGTGGGTTGTCCAGTTCCCTAGACGGGGAGAAGTAGCTTCTGTGAGACAGAAGCAGTTACCTGGCCTGTGTTAGGTAAATGTAATGAATGTTTACTTTAATCCACTGTATGAGCTGACAGGATGCCTGCGGTAGCATTTTAAGAGTGTTTTTAGGTGACAGAGTATCTATCATCTGTACGCCCTATAATTATCAACTGCTTTGAGTACCAGCAAATTCTTCAGTGTCTCTCCCAGGGCGGTCTTCACTCAGCTGACAGGGCTGGGTCGTTTATATGGGACAAGGTTAACAGGAATAGTAATTATGCATAGGGCCTTTCTTTGTACTCCTCAAGGTGCTAAGTGCTGTATGAGGGTTATCTCATTTACAGCTCCTTGGGGTTCTTACTGTAATTCTCTCTATTTTATAGATGAGAAAACTGAGACACAGAGAAATTAGGTAACTTGTTTACTGTAACAAGCTAATAACAGCAAAACTGGTCCTTGAACCCAATTCTGTCTAATCTCAAAACCTTAATCTTCAGACTATGCTCTAATACCTCCAGTCTTACTCATCTAGTAAAAGAGCCAAACACCAAGATGTTAACCCTGGAAAAAAATGTTTGAAAATTTTTAGTTACCAATATCCTTTTATTATTTTTGCAGTTATTTCTACAGCACTTGTAAAGAATTCTGCGCATTAAAGAAGCTATATTCCACCATTTATGGTGTTACCAGATTCAGTAACATTTATAATAAAAGATGTTTTAATGTAAAACGTCTAACTGAGAAGCTTAATTTTAATTACCTGAAGCTTTTTCATTTACATTGTTCAAAATTTAAAAAAATATTTCAAAAATGCATTTAAATAAATCTTTCAGTTATGTGTTTTATTAGAATGGAAAGCTTAAGAAAATTAGCAATAATTTTGATGTCTTTCTATTTACTATCAGATAGGTTAATACATGAATTTGATAACATAATTTTAATTTGATAATTCTAATTGCAGAAATGTCCAGAAAATGACATACGAAGTTGCTGCCTCGCAGAAATTAAGCAGACAGAAGAAAAATATACAGAAACTTTGGAGTCAATAGAAAAAGTAAGTTGTCAGGTACTATTCTTGATGCCCAAATACTGCCTTATAGAGTTAATATATTGGGCTCAGTGTTTCTACTGGGTGTGTGTATTCTCATTTTCAGTAGAATTTTTGATTTAAAGATCTCAGAGTAGGGCCAGCCCAGTGGTGCAGCAGTTAAGTGGGTATGTTCAGCTTCAGGGGCCTGGGATTCCCTGGTTCAGATCCCGGGTATGGACATGGCACCGCTTGGCAAAAGCCATGCTGTGGTAGGCATCCCACATATAAAACAGAGGAAGATGGACATGGATGTTGGCTCAGGGCCAGTCTTCCTCAGCAAAAGGAGGAGGATTGGCAGTAGTTAGCTCAGGGCTAATCTTCCTCAAACAAAAAAAAAGATCTCAGAGCAGATTTATTCATTCTGTAACTGTTTACTGATTTCTTATATCTGAATGCACTGCTTTAGGGACTGAAGATATAGCAGTAAACACAGCAAAATTCTGGTTCTCATGACATTTTCTCTCTCACTTGGGAGGGTTTATAATGTAAGCACATGTATGCCAGGTGCTGGTAATTTTCTGAAGAAAAATAAGGCAGGGGAAGGGGACAGGGAGTGATAGGGGAAGGCTGTGTTATTTTATAGAGTGGTAATGGAAGGCCTCTGTGATAAGATCATATTTAAGCAGACAGCTGAGTGACTTGAGAGAACAAGCCGTGAAAATATCCCAGAGATGACAATTCCTGAGAGAAAGGCCCTCAGATGGGACAGTGTTTGGTGTGCTTCTAGGAATAGCAATAGTCCAGGTGGCTGAAGCAGAATGAGTGTAGGGCAGCAGGGAGATTAGAGAGCTCCTGAGCCACCAGGTCATAGAGGAGCATATAGAAGCTTCTAGCGCAAAGCTAGAGTTCTTTGAGTAGAAGAAGTGACATGATCTAATGTAAGTTTTTAACAGCTCATTCTGTCTTTTGTCAGGCAGAAGTGGAAACTGGGAGAAAATTTAGAAGGGCATTGTAGTAATCAAGTTGACAGAAAATGATGGTATTGGAGGGTGGTAAAGAGTGGTCACATTCTAATAAATTGTGAAAGTAGAGTCAAGCGGATTTGCTGATGAGTTAGTTAAGGGATGTGTGGGAAACACAGCAATCAAGAATGCTAGGTTTTTAGCATGAGCAACTGTGTGAATGAAGATGGTTGCTGAGATGGGGAAGGACACCTTTGGGAATCACGAATCTGTTGGGACATGTTAAATTTGCAATACCTATTAGTTTCCAGGGGGATGTGTTGAGGAGGAAGTTAGATACATGAGTCTAGCATTAAAGGTAAAGGTTGAATTGATGTATATATCGGACCGTTGTCATTACACAATGGCATTTAAGGCCATGGGACTAGATGAGATCACATAGGGAAGGAATGTTGGCAAAGAAGAGGTTTGAGGTCACCTCTGGTGACTTCAACATGTAGAAGTTAGGAAAACAAGAAACAAGAAAAAGTTCAGGAAGTTTAGGAAAAGAGATGAAGGTGCGGAAGAGTTGTTTAGGAGAGTGGGAGAGTAAATTGACTAGGGAAATGTAGTAGAATTATGTGGCGTTACAGGCTCAATTGTGTTTTGTGATTATATTTAAAATTCAACTATAAATATAGTTCATGTTTAACTTCTTAATTAGTGGCACAAAATATTTGTCAGGCTATATTTAACTAGGGTTTTTATTTTTCCAGAAAAGCACAATGGAAGAAGAGAGGGTAGGGGTATATGCAGGGAAGTGATTCTGATGATGGTTCATGGAGAGTAAACGACATAAGGAGGGAAGTGGGGATGTGAGAGATGTGGCATGGTCAGTGGATTGGCAGACCCAGTGGGGCTGAAGGATTCCATGAAGGAATGAGCTGTAAAGGTAAGAGGTAGTGATCAGAGAGTTGACTGCTTGAAATTAATGTTATGGAGCATATGCAGTTGTTGATAATGACAAGGTCTTGGGATATGACCAGAAGAGTAGGGAGCTGAGTTATGATGGAGCTCAAGATTATTGAAGCTCAAGGAACGGAGAGGCCAGGCTATTGGAAGGGTCATCTACACAGATACTGAGATGGTCAAGAATGAAGATGGGAATAGTAATGGAAAGAGATATGACAGAACTAAAATTCTAAGGGAATGAAGGGGATGATCCATAAACTGGATCAGAGTATTGACCTCGGGGATCTAGAATCTCCGCAAGGCGTTTGAGGGATATATCCGTCCTCAAATATTTCTTCAAAATGTTACCATTTTTTGCCAGTTTGGCCAGTGGTGTTCTCATTTTTTCTTACTTTCAGAAGCAGTTATTGTCTAAACCTTTTATTTTATATTTTCAATGTATTAACTTGTATTTATGTCTTTATATCTGTCTTGAAGTATAAAATCTTTAGAGAAAATAGTTTCTGCTTTTTTCTTGGTATGTATGATACTGATAAACAATTGACTTTTGGTAAATATGTATTGTTTGTACATGAAAAACTGTTATATAGATTAGGATAAGTTGTGCTTACTTATTTCTCTCTTCTTTCCTGGTAGTATTTCATGGCGCCATTAAAAAGATTTCTGACAGCAGCAGAATTTGATTCCGTATTCATCAACATTCCTGTAAGTAAAAACACGCCAGATAAAATTGTGGTATACATCTCTAAAATCCTCCTTTTCTTATTGAGTTCCAAATCCCTCTTTTAGCACTCTCCTGTATTCTTTAAGAATTTTGAGCCTATTTTTTGCCTCCTGAGTTCTTATAGCCTTATTTTCTAGACATAGCTGATATGTAATATTGTAAATCAAAAGTCAGTCAGAATGTATGCTGACCACAAATGGATAAGTAGGATTCGTGTATTGTCCCTGACTGCTTGTCATGATGGAGTTGTCTCAGTTAATCCCTGGTGTTACTGTCTGTCTGTCTTGTGGGAGTCCCTTCTGCCCCACTGCCTGCTCCATCTTTCCTCCAGCCCCTCCACTCTGACTTAGAAACACTGTCCTGACTCCACAAGTCTCCTCCACTTCCCATCATTCCTCTACTTCCTTGGCCTCTGCTTTTTGGTCTTTTCTGCTTCTGGTTGTATCAACCTCAGTTCACATTTATGTAAGCATTTACAGTTTCAGGGTACCTTACAATTATCTTACAATCCTAAATGGATGTTTATCCAGAAGCAATAGAAGCAAACCTAATGCTATGCCAGTTGAGGTCATGCTTGGCAAGATTCAAGTTCTTAGACCTCTGGAACTGCCTTTGATTTTAATATATGGCTCTAATATACAGTATATAAGCTTTGATGTACAGGCTTGCTTGTATCACCTGAAAGGTCCCTAATATTTTGATTCTGTTATATTCAGTGCTGATGTACACCAGTTGGTTGGCTGTGATATGTTGTCCTTGTCCCTGATTTTGGCTAAATGAAGACATTCCCATTGACTTGTAACATAGCAAGAGGAAAAAGATCATAAATATCAGATAGCATAAAGCAAACGGCACATTCTAGGAAGATGAAGATCTTGAACCCCCTAAATATGGTCACTGTAACTTAGGAACAACTTGACAGCGCTTATTCTTATGGCTTTTTTTATGCTTCTCAACAAAGTGACAGGGTCATGTATCATTTCTTCCCTGCTAACGAAAGGGCATGCTGTGACATCAGTGTGTGCTCTAAGGTACATGTGAAGAGATAATGGGAGAATTGGCACCTTGATTTGAATTTCCTCATTTCCTGGTTGTGACATATATTTACTGCCTGACTGAAAATTACTTTTGCTTATCAGGAAAAATGTGAAATTCTGACTGTTGAGTTGCTCTAATAAACTGCCTCATACAATTTACTTGCTCCTTATTGATACCATTAGTTGTCTGGTTTCAAGTAATTTAGTCTGATTATTGTTAGTTTAGAGCCAGGACACCACTAATTGACCAAAGTAGAAATCTACATTTTTATGTCCCGAGGACATGAATCATTACTTGATCCTGTCAATAAAACATTAAGCACTTGGATAGTTTTATTTAAAAATTTAAACTGATTATAAAATGAAAATGAGCTGTACATATTTTTATACAAGGAATAAATGACCCTTTAATAACTGGTAAGATAATTTCTTTTTTCACAGGACACTGACACTTCAAGTCAGATCTGAAATTGCCATTTCCCATGCACATGGCCTGTCTCTCTCTCCCTCTCTCTCTTCCTTTCCTTCTCCTTCTTCCCTTTTTCCCTTCATTCTCTGTCTTCTCTTCCTCGCCTCCCCATTGTCGTCCTCCTCTCTCTACTGATGGATAAGGTTAATATATTCAGAGCATTCAGCATATCCTTGAATGGCAAGTCTATCCACAATAGAGATTCTGGGTTTGGGGTGCTTTTTTGGTTCTGATTCCTAATTTTCTTTGACATTATTTTCTTTTCTAAGGAACTTGTAAAAGTTCATCGGAACCTAATGCAAGAGATTCATGATTCCATTGTAAATAAAAATGACCAGAACTTGTATCAAGTTTTCATTAACTACAAGGAAAGGTAACTTTTAAATTTTGTGGCTATTAGTTTGTAATTATAGTGAAGGTTAGTATCAAAATTGCTCATAAGTAGCTATTATTACTGTTAATTAAGATACTACTTAGAGGGGCCAGACCAGTGGTGCAGTGGTTAAATTGGCATGTTTCGCTTCTTGGCAGCCCGGGGTTCGCCGGTTTGGATCCTGGGTGCAGACATGGCACCACTTGGCAAAAGCCATGCTTTGGTAGGCATCCACATATAAAGTAGAGGCAGATGGGCACGGATGTTGGCTCAGGGCCAGCCTTGCTCAGCAAAAAGAGGAAGATTGGCGGCAGTTAGCTCAGGGCTAATCTTCCTCAAAAAGAAAAAAAAAAGATACTACTTAGAGAGTAGCAAAAGCATGGGACAGCTGATCTCAGGGTGGTAGTTTGAGCTCTATATGTATATCAGAAAAAAAAAAGTGAAAAAAAAAAAAAGGCATCCAGACTTCTGCATTGCCAATCAGAAGGTGTAGGTTCTTTTACAGACCCTGTCACCCTTGACTTCTGTAGTTTGCAGGAAGTCATTTTAACTCTCTGAGCAGCATCCTTTTCTCCATCTTGTAAATGTTAGATGTAGATTAGCTGGTACCTAGTGCTTTTTCCAACTCTAATATTTTATAATTCTCTATTTTGGAGTATTAGATTCACAGGTAAAGTCAGTTTCCCTTTCTAAGTTTGAAAAACAGCTTCTGAACAACTCAAATGAATTAAAGTACCAAGGAATTTCATTTAAAATATAGTTCTCTCGGGGCTGGCCCATGTTAAGTTTACACACTCTGCTTCGGCGGCCTGGAGGTCACTGGTTCAGAGCCCAGGTGAGAACCTAAGCACTGCTTATCAAGCCATGGTGTGGCAAGTGTCCCACATCTAAAATAGGGGAAGATGGGTATGGATGTTAGCTCAGGGCCAATCTCAGCAAAAAGAGGAGGATTGGCGGTGGATGTTAGCTCAGGGCTAATCTTTCTTGGGGGAAAAAATATAGTTCTGTCTTTTTAAATCAGGCGCTATAGTTCCTAGTACTGACTAAGAAGTGGCTAAGGAATTGCTTTGCATCAACAATGAGATAAACATTAACTTATTAGTAGTTTTTTCCAAAAGGAGAGGTAAAAGAAACAATAAAGTACCCAGCCTCTTTGCAAAATATCTGTATTACTCCAGAGATAGCCTTCCTGAAGCAAGCTTAACTCCATGCAATGTGAGTTATCTTCTATCCAGTACTGTTCAGGCTTCTCATCCCCACTTTTCAAATAATGTATTTTCCTTAATTAAAAAGTAGGAAGGTGTAGGAAGTTTATTATTGAGTAGAGTCATAAGTAGTGATTACAATAAAATTAGAGTATAAAATAAAACTGTACCTGAGTGTGAATTAACAGTAAAAAGTTGATCTCTAATAGGAACTTAAACAGAAATGTTTAGTTTTGTTTTTGTGGTGTATATGTGTACTCAATATTAAAAGTCATTAAGCCAATTTGTAAAACCTACCTACTATAAAAATGTACATGGAATTAATCCCATTCAAATTTAGAAATCAAAATTAGTCATTTTTTTATACCATAAGTATGAGTGACCTTCATTCTATGACTGGATGTGTGGTGTCTTAAAAAGAACTGAGAAAGCTGAGGTTCAGAGATGTGAGTAATTTGCCCAGGGTTACCTAGGTCGTTAGAGCTGCAGGACAAGTAAGATTTGTCTGATTCTCCCTAACTGTGGTTTTAGAAAGATAGAAATTCTGCCTCTTTCCCCTTCCACTTCATTACTGGTTTTTCACCCTACAGATTCCTCCCTCTCTTCTTCCTTTTCAGGTTGGTTATTTATGGGCAGTACTGCAGTGGAGTGGAGTCGGCCATCTCTAGTTTAGACTACATTTCTAAGACAAAAGAAGATGTCAAACTGAAATTAGAGGTGCCTGTTTATTTTTTGTTAGTTTATGAAATAAAGTAAAATAAAACTAAAAGCAATTATATTCCTTTTCATGATCAATGCAACCGTAAACTTCCCAGTGTATTCACAATTTAATTTCAAGTCAGTTTTATAAAATATTTTAATAGATAGCTCTATAAAATAATGATATGGTAATAATAATAACAATAGTAAAATTTAAGACTTACGGCTCTCTGTTGTCCATGCATTGTCTCATTAGATTCTCAGAACTCTGTGAGATAGATACAATTAATTTTCTTAGCTGATGAATGAGAAAGCCAAGGTTCAGAGAGGTTATGAGTAATTTGACTAGGGTCATCTAGGTAGTAAGAGGTGCAGGAGGAATAAGATATATGTAAGATAATGTATATGTAAATTTAAAATGTTTGTTAAAAATATAAGACATTTAAGGTCAGGCGTATAAAAATGTATGGCTGTTGCTCATAAGAAGGAAGACGACAGACACAAACATCATAAGATTAAGTAGTATGTGACGAGCACTGGTTGACAGGGCTCCATGGGTAAGACTGAGTGATCACTTCAGGATAGGGAAAATGTAGAAGATTTCTCTGAAGAGGTATTACTTGAGTTAGGTCACTGAAGAATGGGGTGAGTCTCGACAGATGAGATTACAGGGAGAGCATTCTGGAAAAATTGTTATGTCTTGACCAGAAAAGTCGGGAAAGTTTGAGAAATGGGGAGTAGGCCAGTGTGAACAGAGCACATGGTAGCAATGGAAAATAAGTCTGGAAACTATTGTCATTTTTCTTGAACATCATTTTTTTTTCACAAGAAGAGTTTGCACTTTCAAAGAACTTTTGAAAAATGATTATATGTTTTATGAATTATCTCAAATGTATTATCCATATGTTTGGATTTTCTGAAGTTTCAGGTAGAGGTATAGAGTCAACTCGGAAATGACTGCGTGTGGCTTAGCTGGCTCTTGAGTGTCCCCTTTGCTGCTCTTTGTTCAGTTTAGCACTGAGATCAGAGGATGAACAGGGAAGAAAAGAGGCAGATGATTTTCAAATCAGAACCCCTTCATTGTTTTAGCATATCTGGGGTGATTTCATAACTCATAACAAAGGGGAACTATTGGTTAGAAAGTTTGCACATCAACAGGCTACCAAGTAGTGTACTGACTCTTTGTGATGGATCTTTTTTCCTTACCTCTTAACAACCCTTTGATGAAGCGGCCCTATGTCTGAAGATGGTTTGACTCACCACTAAATAACATCCTGACAGCCTTGTTAGTGTAAAGGGTTCCTGCCCCTCTTTGGAGAATAGAACCTCTTAAGTGTAGAACTATGAGCCACCTTGACTCAAATTAAGATATGATGGTAAGATAAAACTTTACAACTTACGCAATTAGTTCCTGATAGAGCTGTCATTAAAGCATTTTTTTTTTTAACAAATATATAAAATTCTGGCTCAAGACAGGAGTCAGCAAGTTGTCAACCAGCCCTCCATTATATTCTCAGCACTGTTTGTATGTTCCTCTCCCTTCTTTCAGAGTCACTGTCAAAGTCCTGCCCCCTGACCATTCTCTGAGGCTTTAGGTACATAGTTTGTGCAGTCACTATCAGTCTTACGGAAAGAGAGGACCTCAGGCTCGGGGCGGGGTGCTGCTGGCTGTCCTTTCCTCATCTGAAAGGCTCCTACCTCTGACCACTTGCCTGATTTGGAAGTACAGTCATGCATCACTTAACAATGGGGATATGTTGTGAGAAATGTGTCAGGCGATTTTGTCATTGTGTGTCCTTCATAAAGTGTCCTTCTACAAACCTAGAGGGCATAGCCTACTACATACCTAGGCTATATGGTACTATACTTAGTAAGTAAGTATACCACCTACTATATGATACTCCATATAGTACCACCACTGCATGGGCTTATGGGACCATGATCATATATGTGGTTGTTGGAACCGTACTCTGCAATTCGCAGCATGATGGGCGGAAAGCTGCTATTCTTGGTACCTCTCTGCCTCCTTCCTGTCTTCTGTTTTGTGGTTATTTTTGCTCTTGTTGATTTTTTTTTTCTTCTCTTCTTTGGAACCAAAATAACATGGGGTGAAGGATAATAGAATCTCTTTGTCTTGCCCGGTAAGCTGGCTCATCCCTATTCCATTTTCTTTTCTTTTCATTTAGAATTGGAGTTTAGGCTAGGCACGTGAATGGATGTTTTCAAAGAATCATTTCTACCCTTTATTTATTTTCGATACTAGTAAGAATTTTACACCTCAGTCTCAGGCCCCCCAGTTTTAGGAAATGCCAGTAACGTTAGTTTCTTTACTTCCTGAGCCTATAACTTAGAAATTAAAGGAAGTAATTTTGTCCCTATCAGTTTTAAACTGAATTCATAATATAGCAAGGTGAATTTTAAATGTATGACATTTTTGTTTCTAACACTGTGTTAAGAAGGCTTGGTATAAGAAGTGTAAGATACAACTTTAATTCCAAGGAGTTTAAAATGCAGCTGGAAAGATGAGACCCATTCATTACAATAGTGATAACAGTTTAACCTCCTATTTGAGACCCATGATCCAGAACTTTCTACAATCTGTAGAAGAAAGAAGTCAGTTGAAATAGTTATCCTTCCAAGGAATTGCAGCAATTGACAAGACATGAACTAACATGTCAAGATGTGTCCCCAGTTCTTCTTGCTTAAGAGCTGTAGTCAGGCACTCGTTAAGTCACTATGGTCATTAGAGCTAATGGTGTTTGCTTTATAGCTTCTGATAACACATCCTTCCATGTGCCAGGAAAGCTAGGTGTGGGCAAAGGGGAAACAAACTCACGAACAAAGGAGTATCTTCTTGAACACAACTCCTTCCATGAGCTGGAAAATTCCTTGGTCTGGGATGTGCAATTGTCTGAGGCTTTTGGGCTCAAAGTTGCTTGCTAATAATAATATTTTTATGGAACTTCATTGCTTTTTTTTTTTTTTTTGACTAGACCACAGATATGTGAGAAACCATAAAATCAGAAAAGGAACTTGTTCAAGGTGACACAGCCAAGAGTTAGCCAAACTTGATTTAAATTCAGGCTGACACTTCAAATTCAAAGTACTTGCCTCAAAGTCATAGTTAATGTCAAAAGAGTGAACAGATCAATACTATTTTTAGATGAACTTTTAAGAAAGAAGAGTGTGAGATTAAAAAAGTAAAATCTGAGGATTTTACAACTTTGAATCCAGTAGTAGGGTTATACGTTAGCAAATTTTCAGTCAGTCATTCCATTTCATGCAGGTAAATATTTTTTAAGCAAATACTAGATTCTTAGAGGGATAAAAGATATCCTATATTGGGGAAGATATTATATACAATAACTAAAAGACCCACAAAGCACAGAGAGAGAGAGCATAATTTTGATTGGGATTATTACTAAAAGCCTAGAAGTATAGTTATTCAAGAGGATGATGAATTTTGCTGGAAACTGGACAAAGCACATGGGATTTGAAGGAAACTGAACAAACCAAGGCATGATGGTGGGAAAGGCACATGGCAGGTTTGATGAGTAGGGCCTTCTTGTTGATGCCTGGTCCACAGGCCCACGAGGGGAGACTGGTGGAAGGTAGAGCTAGGAGGGCAAGTGGAGGAAGACCTTGGAGGGCCCCTACAGAAAGTAATCTTCATGCATGAAATAGTTCTACTATGGAGTCCTGTTTAGGGTTGAAATGCTACAAGATTTGTTTGTTTCCTTGGTTTTTAATTAAAGATACTTTCTATTTTTTAGAAAGGAGGATTGTTAAGGAAAACAACAAAATATTTATTATATAATAACAGTGTTGTTTATGGCTTTTGCATCTTTTATTGCAAAAGGCCTTTCTGCATTTTGTTTTATGACTGCCTTTGATGAAACTAACAAAATTTTTAAAAGAAGTTTTTAAAAAACATTTCATTAGGAATGTTCCAAAAGAGCAAATAATGGGAAATTCACTCTTCGAGATTTGCTTGTGGTTCCTATGCAACGTGTTTTAAAGTATCACCTTCTCCTCCAGGTATGTAACTTAACACTGTTTGTTTGTTTATTTGTTCATTTATTCATTCAACAAAATATTAATGAAGCATCAGCTATGCTCCACAGGCTCCACGTTTGGGGCTCTATCCCCTTACAATTTTCAATTATTAGTACAGCTAAGTGGGAAATAACAGAAGAGCTGGAAAGTTTTTCTTCCTATCAGCAATGATGATTCTGTATTTTCTACAAAGTCACATTTTGTGTCCTTCCAACAGAACTGTCTTCAAAAGAATTAAAACGCAAGGCAAAACAAATAAAAAGATCCCTTCAACTAAGTCCTCTGTAGTGAGCATTAATCATTTATTAGAATCTCAGTGTTGCGACACACTTGAATTTTGCTAGGTTAATTGTGTTAGACCTTTTGCCTTACAACCATAAACTAAAGAGAATTGTGACACATTCTGGGTTGTGTTCTGCTATAGTGAATTACAATAAGACTACATTTATTTTGAAGTGATTCTTGTTATAACCCCAAAGCTTATGGTTTCCACGGTTAGTCTTCTAATGAGGGTGGAGAGTCTTATAAATTTAATTTGATAGCTGTACCAGGAGACTCATTAGTTCTGCTCCAAAGAAATGTCTTACCGTATTAGTCTGTCAACTCCGCTGATGCTTGTGAGATGTCACTTTAAAAAGATCTGCTACCTGTACGTGAAATATAATTTTGAGTCTGCTGTGCTTTGTACATCTTGTATATTAAATTTCTTGAACTGTAGCCACAAAATTATTAGTCATCTCTATTTTTGTTCTACTGAGAAATCAGAAAAATTCAGACCCTGATTATTCCTTAAAAATGCATTAAAACATTTATGAGACTTAAACTCAAAGCAACTTAATCAAATTGGATTTTATGAAAAAGTAATAAGGAAGACATAGGCAATCAGTTTCTAAGACATCATGGAACTAAAAACATGTCCAAAAAAAGATAATTTATTTTGTAACTTTGGTATAGTCAGATATCAATTGAAGAATTTAGAAGGTGCAATTTTCCAGCAGCATCTATTTTGGTCACTTCTAAGGCTTTAGACACACTTATAAAAGTATAAAATAGGACTTTAGCTTTTTGAAATGCCACAGACTTTTTTCCTAATTCCTCTTGGATTGTTTCGTATTTTAAATTTCAAAATTATGTTTGGTTTCATGATAATTTTTTAAAATAGGAAAAATTTTATTTGGGGCACTACATACAGATAAAAATTCTAGAAATGTTTTTCCATCTTGAAGTAGTGTAGAGTAGAATTTATTTGTCTGATGTTTAGAAATTTGAATAAATGTGATATGAATTTGAACATTTCCTACTTCTAGATTTTAGTGGGGAAATCATTTTTGAAAGGCTTTATGATTTGAAAGCACAGGCTTATAAAATTAGAATATTTTATAGTGGGGAGTTTGAAAGTTTGAGAATAATTTGCTATTACTATTTAATAAAGAGAGTAAAAATAGAAATAAAAGAATATAACTTTGACGAGTTTATTATATGTAAGAGATTTGATGTCTGTAGGTCCTATTTGTGACCAGAAACACTACTGGTATTGAATTCAGCCAAGAGTTTTGAGTGACTCCCCTGGACCACACACAGTATTAGGCACATGTGTTGTAAAATAGCCCCTAGGCCCTGGAGGAGTGCACTGTTTAGATGGGGAGAATGGAATGTAAGCTGCCAAGTACAACGCAATGTGATAGATATGCAGAGGGGACAAATAAAGGCTTAGTTAATTATGCCTAAGGAGGCTGGGGACTTGAGTAGAGGCCTCTGTGTCACAGAAAGCTTCACAGAGGAATGATTCTTGAACTGGGTTTTGAAGGAAGACTAAGAGTTTGACAGGTGGATCAGAGAGGGGAAGGGCTTTCTAAGAGAAAACAGCATGCCTAATGGGGTCAGATACTAGAACTATTTTGAGAATTGCAGTTAATCTAATATGAATAGACTATAGATTGTTTGGGCGGAAGTGGAGAGAGAAGTTGGGAGAGGTTTACCCAATTTAGATCGTGAAGGGTCTGTCTAAGAGGTATGGATAACAACCTGAAACTTTTGTGGGCATCACAGAAGTCTAAATAGGGTAGAGACAAGATCTGATTTACAATTTAGAAACCTAACTCTGATGTCGATAGACTGAATAGATTATAGTGAGGAGAGACTGCAAGTCAGAAGATCAATCAGGAGCCTATTATAAAGACCCATTTGAAAAGAGTAACAATCTGAACCAAGGTAGGGCAGTAAGGATGGTTTCAAGGGGAACGGTCAGGGTTACTGTCACCAGAACATAGTGACGGGGGAGAGAGAGGGGTGTCTCGGACACCTTGGGCACCTTTCAGGTCATCATTACACTGATGAAAGTGCCATCATTCAATAAAACATAAACAGGAACAAGAGTAGAATTGTGAGTGAAGATGCATTAAGTTTGGACATGTTGAATTGGAGAGGTTTATGAGATACTATTAGTTCTAATAGGTAGAGCTATTTCATTGGACAGATGAGTCTGAGACTCACGCATGAGTTCTGAGTTGAGCACATTCATTACAGAGTGATTGTCTCAGGTGATAGTTGACATTGTGGCAAGGGTTATGATAGAATCTGCAGAGTATGTAAAATAAGAATAACAGAAAACTAAGGTGAAAATCTAGGGAACAATAACTTTCTAAGGTGCAATAAAGAAAGAAGTATGAAAGATGGATGGATAGGCAGAACAACAAACTAACAAACAACCATAACAGCAACAAACAGAAGATCCTAATGTCCCTGAAGCCAAAGGAGAGGTGTAGTCATCAGAATCAAAAGCCATAGAGAAGCCAAGCTTGATAAAGAGTGAAAAGTATCAGTTCAACTGGCAATGAGGGGATCTTTCCTAACATTTCGGGAGAGGGTTCCTGTAGTGATGGGGGATAGAATTTGGGTTCGTCTTTGAAAGGAAAATGTTTCCAACCATTGTCTCAGGCTCTTTTGGTATCTAGTTGGTCTTCTTACAGATTGAAAATTTTGATGAAAATAGAGCCTAGTTACATTAGATTTATCACATTGTGATGCAGATAAGGATAAAAATGGTTTATTTTTTAAATGTTTTCTTTTGTAAGTTTTGGTTTTAATTTGTCAAAAGTAGTACTCCGCTATATCTTCCAAATAGGAGCTGGTCAAACATACCACTGATCCTGTGGAGAAGGCGAATCTGAAACTGGCTCTCGATGCAATGAAGGTAAGGCAGACATATCATTATCTTGTCTGTATTTTTTATTCTTGCCTCAAAACAATAGAATACAAACTGTTACTATCTATGTATGATGTGCTAATATATTATGCATATAAGTATTTGTATAATTTTGTTTTTGATCAGGAGAGCTAGACATTTTTAACTGAAATAGGTATCCTTGCATGGATTTGTTAGACCGAAACACATAAAACCAAGAGGTATATTAAAATAACTTTTCTTATTTATGAATAACATGACAACTTTCATAACCACCAGGAATGATTTAACATAACGATTTTATTTTACATACTTTGTACGGTTACTAATAGAAAGCTGTTGGCTTCATGAGCACCAGGTCAGCTGGTGACACAGAACACTGGTGTGACTTCTTTCCTCAAGTGAGGGTATCTGCCAGGTTTAGCTTTATGGATGCTGTGCGTCAACACAAGTGGATTTCAGTTTGGGTTTCTACTTTCAGGTAAATCTGAAAATCAAGAACTACGAGTAGGTAAAGGCAGACTTTTTGAACATATTTAGCAATCTATAAAATCCCAATTTCCACGTTATGGTGGACTTGGACTTTGAAAGAGATAATATTTGCCCCTAACTTAAAATTGGCCCTAACTTAAAACATAGGCAGATATTTTTAGTTTTGTTTTTTGTGGTATATATGTGTACTCAATATTAACAGTCGTTAAGCCAGTTTATAAAACCTACCTACTATAAAAATGTACATGGAATTAATCCCATTCAAATTTAGAAATCAAAATTAGTCAGCTTTTATACCATACAAAATGCCAATGTGACTCTGCTCAGAGCAATGCATACTTACTTATGTGTCTCTGTGCCCATTTCAGTGTTAGCTCTGCTACTTTAGCTGATTTTAGTGGCCTGTCAGGAAACATCACACAATTATTTATTATTATTAAAAAATCAGACCAACTTTCCACTTTTTAAAGAAATCACTTATAGATACATCCTATGAAAACTCAGGCTTTCATTTAGAACAAAGTAAGGACCTGCTTTTTGTCAGAGTTCTGCTCCTACGGTTGCAGATAAATTTGAGAGGGTAGAGAAAAAAGAAAACCCAGAAAACAGGAAAATCTAGAGCACATATAATAAAAATAGCTAGTTACAGTATGGAAAGATTAGCTAATGTTTCCTCAAATATGAGAAAAGACAGTTTAAAATAGGTGAAGGCACATGGAGAAACATGGCCAGCGTTGTTAGTTCACTTGAATTCATTTTTGTGCTCTTTAGTTTCTTTCTGTCTCCTTCACTTCTCCTTTATTAGCTCTTTAAAATTGAGCTGGCTTCCTGGACTGAATGCTCTCAGGAACTAAGATACTAACTGGTTGCAGAAAACAGTCCTGCTAGATTCATTGTCTGACTTCTAGTTACTTTTTCTCCCTGCTAATCCTTCCTGATTGCCCTTATTCTAACCCAGGTGAAAATGTAATTCTCTAGAGGTCGGTTATTAACGTGTTTGGAATTTACATTCTCCTGACCTAGTTTCCGTTTTGTTGTTCTGCCTAGTGGCATATTTTGTTTACTTTTTATCCTTATTCTTCTCAAGGGTGTGGTAAATGACAACTCTTCAGTCTTCCCAGCTGTACCCCAGACATTTTAAAATTGCTTTTGAGATGCAGCTTTGATGGATTGGGGATCCATTGTATTGTCATTGAAAAGTTGTGGTGGTTCCATTTACCACTAATGAAATTAATGACGTGTTTTCTTTCAAACAGTTCTCATCTCTTCTCCAATCTTATTGTGCCTTCTTTTTGTACCCTTCTCTTCATCCTTTAGGATTTGGCACAATATGTGAATGAAGTGAAGAGAGATAATGAGACCCTTCGTGAAATTAAACAGTTTCAGTTATCTATAGAAAATTTGGTATGTAATTATGCTTCCATCCAACTCCCCCTCACCCACAAGTCAGGAGACATTTTAGGAGTTGTTTTTGAAGAAAAGATAGTTTACCTTCATGTTTCTGTTGTTCCAGCCTTTTACCAATTCCTCTATTTGGCAGCAGTCACTTGGACATCTAGTGGCACCTGTGACATATCATTGTCCAGGGACTTTCTGCCATCATTTGTCACTCTCACCTTAATCACAGTGTGCCTCTTCCCCCCAGCAGTCCAAATTCCAAACATTGAAGTCCATTTTTTTCTTTTCTTCCCCTCACCCTCATACATACTCACAGCTGATTCCTGTTTATTATTTATTTAATGTATATTTATTGGGTAACTACTGGGTGCCAGACGTTTTGCCTGGGACTGAATCTATAGCTGTGAACAGCATGGTCATGGTTGAGGAGACAGTAAAAATGCCATCTCGAGACTAGTTCTGTGAATGAGGTGCTGTAATAGAGGATAATAAGGGGAGTCCTGGTTTAGATAAGATGGTTAGACAAAGTCCTTCTGAGTCATTTGCCACTTGAACCTGAAGAATCAGAAAAAAATCCAGTGGCATAAAGATCTGCGGGGAGAGGATTCAGGCAGAACCTATGGCAAGTGAAATGCCCAGAGATAGGCAAGAGCCGGGGGGGTTCAAGAAGCTGAAGGGCTAGGGTGGCTGGCAATTGGAAGTGAAAGGAAGAATGGTGGGCTCTGAAGTGGGAGAGGTAGGCAGGAGAGCTGTGCACCCCCAGCCTCGGAGGCCATGGCGCTGAGTTGTGCTTTTACTGTGATTGCAGTGGGAAGCCAGTGGAAGGTTTTTATCAGTTTCACAGTCTGATTTACATTTCAAGAAAACCCATTTAGGGGGCCGGCCCTTGGCTGAGTGGTTAAGTTTGCGCGCTCCGCTTCGGTGGCCCAGGGTTTCACCCGTTTGGATCCTCGGGGTGGACATGGCACTGCTTATTAGGCCACGTTGAGGTGGCGTCCCACATGCCACAATTAGAAGGACCCACAACTAAAATATACAACTATGTACTGGGGGGATTCTGGGGAAAAAAAGCAAAAAAAAAAAAGATTGGCAACAGTTGTTAGCTCAGGTGCCAATCTTTAAAAAAAAAAAAAAAAGGAAGAAAACCCATTTAGCAGGCAGGCCAGTCAGCAAGTTGTTGAGGTGATTTCAAGAGAGAGATGTTGGAGGCCTGGATTAAGCTATGGGCAGTGAAAATAGGGATAAATGAATGGATTTTAAGATACTTTTTTTGGCAGAGCAGTTTTATTACTTCTTTCTTTGAAACGTTCTTGAGCTTATTTCTTCTTTTCACACATACAGCCACTTTTCCATTCCAGGACCTCATCTGCCACCTTTCGAGTCACAGAAGCCTCTAATCATCTCTTCCTATAGTTGCATTTCCAAAATGTGAATTTCTCAATTCACGCTCTTTCTCAAACTTGTCAAAATTTTCTGTTGCCTTCAGGATTCAGTGAACATTCCTTAGCATGATATTTAAGGCCCTCAATGATGTGGACTTAAACTCTTTTCCTGGCCTCATCCGGTTAATAACTGCCCACGTACTTTACATGGCAGCTACCCTGCTGTGTTGTGCAGTCTCCCATTTGCCGTACATTTTTATCACTCTGCCTTTGGTGGTAAACTTGTCAGAGCCTAGAATGTCTTTTCCCATTATTTCCTATTGAATTCCTTCAAGGTCCAACTAAAATAAATCCTTTTCCTAATCTCCCGTTATCCTTTCTCTTTGTAATTCCGTAGCACGTTGCCTGAATAGCTGTTAGGCATGTTTTTTTGTTGTGGTAAAATATATATAACATTAAATTTACCATTTTTAAACTTACAGTTTTGTGACATTAAGTACATTCATATTGTTGTGCAGCCATCCCCACCATCCATCTCCATAACTCTTTTCATCTTGTAAAACCGAAACTCTGTACCTGTTACACACGAACTCTCCATTTTCCCCTCCTCCCAGCCCCTGGCAACCACTCTTCTACCTTCTGTCTTTATGAATTTGACTACTCTAAGTACCTCGTGTAAGAGGAATCATACAATATATATTAGTCCTTTTGTGACTGGCTTGTCTCACTTAGCATAATGTCTTTAATGTTTATTCATTTTGAAGCACGTGTCAGAATGTCGTCTTTTTTTTTTTTTAAGATATTCCTTTTTAAGGTTGAATAATATAACACTGACTGTATATAGTCCACATTTTGTTTATCCATTCTTCTGTCTATGGACACTTGGGTTGCTTCCTCCTGTTGTGAATATTGCTGCTATGAACATGGGTGTAGCAATACCTGTTTGAGTCCCTGCCTTCACTTTTTTTGCTTATATACCCAAAAGTGGAATTGCTCAATTTTATGGTAATTCTATATTTAATTTTTTGAGGAATAGCCATGTTGTTTTTCACAGTGGCTGCACCGTTTTACATTCCCACCAGCAAAGCACAGGAATTCCAGTGTCTCCACATCCTTGCCAACACTTGTTCTTTTCTTTCTTTTATTTTTTTTGATAATGTCCATCCAAATGGATGTGAAGTGGTATCTCATTGTGGTTTTGATTTTGCATTTTCCTAATGATTAGTGATATTAAACATCTTTTCATGTGCTTCTTGGCCATTCGTATATCTTCCTTGGAGAAATGTCTATTCAAGTCTGTTGCCTATTTTTGAATCTGTTGTTTGTTTTTTGTTGTTGAGATATGAGTTCTTTATCTATTCTAGGTATCAATTCTTAGCATACATTTTTTTTGCAAATATTTTCTCCCATTTTATGGATTGCCTTTTTACTCTGTTGATAGTATCTTTAGCTGAAACTTTTTAATTTTGATGAAGTCCAACTTATCAATCTTTTCTTTTGTTGCCTTTGCTTTTAGTGTCACATCCAAGAAATCATTACTGGGTCCAATGTCATAAACCTTTCCCCCTATGTTTTCTTCTGAGTTTTATATTTTCAGCTCTTTGATTCATTTTGAGTTAATTTCTGTATACAGTGTAAGGTAAGGGTCCAAGTTCCTTCCTGTGCCTGTGCACATCCGGCTTCCCCAGCATCATTTGTTGAAAAGGCTGTCCTATCCCCATTGAATGGTCTTGGCATCCTTGTCAAAAATCATTTGACCGGATATGTGAGGGCTTATTTCTGCATGTGCTGTTCTATTCCATTGGTCTAGTGGTCTGTCTTCAGGCTGGCGCCACACTGTTTTTGTTACCATAGCTTTGTCATAAGTTTTGCAGTCAGGAAGTGTGCGACCCCGTCTTTGTTCTTCCAGATCGCTTTGTGTATTAAGGCTTCCTTGAGATTCCATGTGATATTTCGTATGAAATTTTCTTTTTCTGAAAAAAATATCATTGGGATTTTGATAGAGAATTTTTATTTCTCTACTTTTTTTGTAGTGTAGTTAAATATGTATCTATCTCCTTTATGAGAATGTAATCTCCTAGATGTTAGTGATAATTTTCAGTCAATTTTTTTTCCCTAGCAGCTTGTACAGTAGATGCTCATAAATAACTTAAAAAAATGTTATTGCCTACCTCTGGGGAAATGGCTCATTATTTTTAATCATTAAATCAGAACTTTTCATTCTTGAGATCTTAGCTCAGGGAAGCCATTCTTGACTCCCTAGATCAAATTAAGTTCCCTGGCTATGCTTGCTTCCTGTGCCCCTCCTTCGTGGCAATTGCACATGTGTAATTATATACTTCTGTGAGTATTTGCCCCTCACGGGGCAGTATGTTCCATGGGTGCAGGGTCTGTGTCATTTTTTCCTATACCTATTACAGTGGATGTTCAATAAATATTAGTTGCTGTAACTTCCTTGTGATTTGAATTCTTGCAATTAATTCTCTCTTTTGGTAGCTAACTTCCCCAGTTGGGTTAAAAGTAAAATCAATTAAGTGTCCTCAGTATACCTCCTGGACTGACCAAGGACAGACTGTTTTTGAAAATGTATCATACAGACCTGAGCTCTGTAGAGTGAGTATGCTAAAAATGTAAAATGATAAAATTTGTAATGTACTAAGGTAGATGTCCCTAGTACATATCCTCACTGATGTTTATTTCTGTTTTTATATGCTTCTGAAAAACTGAGACATGTACATTTTATATTTTAGAATCAACCAGTGTTGCTTTTTGGACGACCTCAGGGAGATGGTGAAATTCGAATAACTACTCTAGACAAGCATACAAAACAAGAAAGGTGAGAAAAGAGGAGCAATACTTGTTTTCAAAATAATTAGTATCAGAAGATTGATAAAATCTTCAAAACAATTCCTCCAGGACAAAGGAGGGAAATAGAGGAAGAAAAACAAGGGGACAGACCAATCTGTGGTTTTCTAAAGTTTTCTCATATAGAGCAGTTAAGTATTTCCCTCTAGGTTCTAATGTCTGTTGATTTGTGTAAGTTTAACTGCTTGAGAAGGCACTGGCAAATATAGAATGTCGGCTAGAGTAAAAAAAGGTACACATTAAAATAAGAGTAGACATAAAGTAGCAATAGATAATTACCATAAAAACACCATTGTTTCATTCTTTTTTTTTTGGTATTCATTTTAAAATAACTAAAAATAATACAAAATGTCCTAAAAAGGAAGTCTAAATGATGACCATTTAGTGAGATTTTCTTGAAGGAAGCTTGCAGATGAAATCCATGAAGATGAGTGAGCTTGACCAGGTGTCCCTAATTATGTATATATGATTGTGAAACTGATCCATTTGGTAGAAATGGCCATTTTCTGGAACCTTTGGAGACGAGAAAGTCAGCCAGCAGGGGGCAGCATCAGCACTTGCTTCCTCCTTGATACCCAGGCTCTACAGGTAGTTCCTGGGAGAGAGATCCTTTTAGCCTCTCAGGGAAAATAGGATTTGACAGTGATGCAAGTATCAGAGCCATGTGACTGTATCGTTATCATTATCATTGTTTAAAAAATGTATGTGTGTTTATCAATGAGAGTTTTTGAAAAGATATAAGTATTGGTATTGGGTGGTAGGATTAAAAGGTTTGTTTTCTCCCCCAATTCCATTGTTTTTAATAAGAAAGAAGAGAAATATCAACATGCAAATTTAACCATAATTCTTCTAGTTTACATTTTGCTCATATATCACTCAATTTGTGTTTCAGGTGGTCTATTAAATGATGAGGAGCAGCATAGAGGGGAAAAGCGCAGGTCCCACGATTAGACCCGAGTGTGACTCTTGCTCTGCACCTCACTAGCAGTGTGACCTTGAGCAAATTATTGAACTTCTCTAAGCCCCAATAATATTCTCCCCAATAATATCAAGCTGATAATAATACCCACCTCCGCACGTGGTCCTGGGGATTTAAGTCCAGTGAGTCGTCTTTGTGAAGGGGATGAGCGCAGCTCAAGGCATTCTGGCTGACTCCCAGTAACATCAGTGGAACTTAACTGCTATTGTTGTCGTTAATATTTTTCTGTAAATGTTTAGCTTTTAAACTAAAACCAGAAAAAAGTAATTGCTCATGAAAACGCTTTACTGCTTATCTCAGCTGTTCCTTACAGCACCTCTTCAGTGTGGATATCATTCTTATTATAATTTGGTCTGTTTTTTCAGTGAGGAAACTGAGGTACAGTGAGGCCATCTATTTAGTAGAGGGAAGTGCCAGGATACACAGAGTTCATTCTTTTCAGTGCGCAGCACTGCCTTTGTCTTTAACTCAAAGCAAAAATGTTTGGTTGGTTTAGTTAAATTTTACCAGAGAAGAATTAACATACATGCTTCCAAACCATTTTAAATCAATCAATCTCTTTTCTCCCTTTGTCTCCTTCTCTCTCAGGCATATCTTCTTGTTTGATTTGGCAGTGATTGTATGTAAAAGGAAAGGCGATAACTATGAAATGAAGGAAATAATAGATCTTCAGCAGTACAAAATAGCCAACAATCCTACAACTGATAAAGAAAATAAAAAGGTGAATTCTTGGAAATTAGTAACTGTAATTTAGTCTTATTCAAGGAAAGTGTGCTAATACATTCATGTGAGAGGTGGCTTGTCAATCCAGGTGTTTTTGTTCCTAGAGATTGATTAGGAGCAAACCTCTGTGAGAAATAATTGGACATTGCCACAGCTGTTATGATCATCTCTAATGCCTTAATGATCAAAACAAATGCGTTTGGCATAGAAATTGTTATATAGATGAAGTTGACTACAGTAATCTTGATTGTTCACAATTTGTACAGTGATAATGTTGTGAGAGGTTTGTGAATGATTATGGTAGTGTTTTAGTGAATTTGGAAACATCATGTTATTAATGAGTGATAAATATTAACCTGAGGAATATTAATTTTAACAGTGGTCTTATGGCTTCTACCTCATCCATACCCAAGGACAAAATGGGTTAGAATTTTATTGCAAGACAAAAGATTTAAAGAAAAAATGGCTGGAACAGTTTGAAATGGCTTTGTGAGTATTTCTGCTTTTAAAAGTGCTTATTTCTACTAGTTAATTCTCTTGTGAATAATGAACTACCACTAAGTGTACTCTACTGCTTGTGGCACCTGGAGAGAGGCTGCAGAAACACTTTGCTCTGAGCATGAATGCTACTAGGCGGTTGCTTGATAACTTTGTCTCCTAGCAGAGCAGTTTTGGTGAATTTCTTCAAGAAAAAGAAAGAGGGAGCTCTGACCTTCTGTTTGACTTTCTTCTCATGGGCTTTTAATTCTTCAGCTTTTAGCAGCTCATGAAAATATTGATTATTCTAATGATAAACTTTTAATGTAATTACCATGTTTTATATATATCTTTAAGTTAAATAGAAATACCCCCCCAAACACATACGTACACATATGTACATACATGGACGTATCTTCTTTTTCACAGAAAGATTGATTTCTTCCCCCTGTTTGTTTTTAACTCGTTTATTCTTGGAATCCTGGGTAAATTGCTTGACGTCTTCAATGAATGCTGGAAGGGCTTGATTTCTTTGTGTTCTTTTCTTTGATTGAAGTAAGAGCTCAACAGAGAGGTGGGAAATAAATCAGACCTGTTTTAAAAGGAATGGCATAAAGAGATGTAATTACACAAGAACGTGTCATTATAGGGGTTTATTTTAAGTTTTGATGTTTATGGATTAAAAGGTGCGTAATGACCCTTGTTAGGGAAACATATAGGTCACCCTGAATTAACACTGTTAGCAAAAGGTCAAATTAAGAAAAACACTTTTGTGATTTGTTTCTTTAGTATTCTAGCATTATTTGCCCTTTGTGGGCAAATTCCATCAGGTTTCTATTTTTGCTTTTGCTTTGTTTTGAAGTGCTCACGTTAATGTAAAATGCAGGTGGGATTAGAATGTTTTATTGTAGTTCTGAAGAGAGAAAAATAAGGATTTTCTTATGATTATTTAAGCTAACATTTTGAGAGACACAATTGTACAACCAGAATATTTTTAAGCTTGTAGACAGTTCTGAGTTCAGCTATAACCATGAACTGGCTGCATAGTCTTAGCCAAGTTATTTAACCTTTCAGAGCCTCAGTTTCCTCCTCTGTAATATAGGAAGCATATTTATTTCGAATTCCAAGTAATATATGTCAGGCAGGATGCTAGTCAAATAGTACAACAGCAGTGACATGGGAGTGACAGTAAGTGATATCTGTTGTTATCACTATTATTAATCTTGTTTTGCATTTAAGATCCTATTCATCTGTGGGTGCTTATAAAATCAGAGGGCATCTTCCCGTATACTATTACAGTTCTTACAATTTGTTGTTATTGATTACAGTCATTAAACAAAAGAGGTTAGTAGTTTTGTGCATTAATGCAGTGGCTATACTATAGGGAGCCCTTTGGTTTCAGGCACAGGTGACGATGTTGATGACCTCCGTCCAACTGATGGATAGTGGGTTACATGATAAGCCTAATGTACTGTTTTAGTGAGGTTTCAAGTGATAGACAGCACTTGGAATTGAGCAGTTAGAACTGGAATGACAGGATGTTGGCATTGGTGATAATGGGCATAGGCAGAGCTGCTCTCAAGCCTTGCTCTTGCTGGGAAGGATGCTAGGCTATTTTCTTATAGGTTCTCTTCAGCTCTATAGTCTTTACATGAGTGAAGGAATTTCTACAGAGGAGGAAAGTTAAATTTCCTGTTCCAGAGCCAAGCAGGCCTCTTGGATTGTATGATAGGCTTATCAGCTAATATTTTGTTCAGTTACTATAAATCAAACAGCCAAACTCTGGATAAGAGAGACTCGACAAGATGGATGCTTAGATCTCTTTCAAGTAAAAGAATCTAGGGTAGGTAGATAAGGGGTGGTATGGCGGCTCTCTGGGAGATTGTTAGGGACCCAGACTCAGATCTTCCTGCTCTGCCATTATCAGCATTTGGTTGCTATCCTCAAAATCGGTCATCTTGTCATCCAAGATAGCTGCTGGAGCCCCAGCAATAAAATCTACATTTTAGGCAGCAGAAGGTGATCGCTCACTTTTAAGAATCCTTTGCAGAAATGCCACAAACTTCTGTTACATAATGCTGACCAGAACTTAGTCATGTGGCCACATTTGACAAGGGATCCTGGGAAATATAATCTTTATTCCAGGCAGGATTGTGCCTGGCTAAAAACCAATGTTCTCTTACCAAAGGAGAAGGGACAAACAGCTGCTTACAGGCAACTAGCAGTTGCTGCCTTCCAGGAGTATGGCTGGGCTTAAATTATTCCACCACAAGAAAGATGGCTGTACCACATACAGGGAAACTGGGATTCTTAATCTTTGAGCATTTTCAAGAACCTTAACAATTTAATTAAACATCCATAGACGCGGCTGTTTGTATTTCAGAGTTCCATTGACTGCACATGCAGATGGTGAGGGGGTGGAAGTACCTTTTTTGAGAATTGCTCAAAGTCGAAGTTGAGGGCTTCTATAAGCAGGGATTATGCCACGTGTGGCAAAATAAAATTAGTCAGGATTTTATTCAAGTGTCAGAATATTCCATTATTTTATTTCCTCCTCTCTTTCTTGAAGCTCATTATGCAGGAAAGCCCTGCTTCAAGCTTTGTAAGACAGCTCTTGCTTGTCTTGTGTTCAGGAAAATAGAATAATCTAGAGAAGTCCTGAAGTTTAAGACGTTGCCTGTGGTTCAAATTCTACTGTTTTATCCATTATCGAAAGTTCTAGTACTCTTACTCTGTAAGCCATAGAGAATAAAAGGCCACTAAGAAATCCTGCAGCATTCATGACAACACATGAACAGCAGTAAGCCTGGTGTATCTGAACAGGCTGACTTCTTCCAGTCACGTTAGCATTGACATGGGCCCCATAAGTCCTTGTGGAGTGCTCTGGAATGTTGCTTTAAGGAACTCTGGAAAGGAAAGGGAGGCATTGGTAGGAGGGTAGCGGGAAATCGAGGGATATTTTAAGACTGATGGAATGCTTGCCAGTTCTACTTACAGAAGATGGCAGTTCTGCTGTTTAGAGGATGACTAGATCATTTATATTTTTAAAAAAATTGCAAATCACCTTTAAGGCGTTTAAAATACTGCTCTTAATTTGGAACATTAAAAAAGACTGTAAAAAAGCAGGAATACCTATAAACAATGAATATTCAGTAAACACCAGTCCTCTCCCCAAAGGTGACCTGAATCTCAGCCTCTGTCTTCCCACGTGCCTCCCCATCCCTGTCAGCAGCTGTGTTCTCCGACCTTCTTTGGCCATAACCACTTCCAGCATTTAAAACATGCAACAAACCGCATCAGAACCTGGCAAACCTCCATAAGACTTGCTGAACAAAGGGAAGAGCGGCAGTGGCCCACTTGGATGGAGCAGGAAGAAAGATCTTTTTTCTTTTTTCCTGGGAGAAGAAGTGGTAGCAGGACTGATCGCTCTTGAGGGGGTTGGAACAGTTACTGAGTCAAATCATGTTGGAGAGCTATGGTTCTGGGGACCCCGCTCTAAAGAATATATTAAAATCTTTAAGAGGCTGATACATGTTGCTTATTCTTATTTCCAAAAGGACTTTTTGTTATCTCTCAACATTCCATTTAGTTATCTGTGAAATAGCATGGCAAATATTTTTGTTAGCTTAAGCTAGTTTTCATAATGGTGTTGGAAAATGTGGACGTGAATGCCTATAGCAATGTTCAAAATATTCTTACAAAGCTATGGATATGTCTCCCCCAGATCCCTTATATCCAGTGTGTTTTTATGAATTCTGTTAGATTTAAATTAATAAATATTGTCATATCCATTCTATAGCTCAGGAAACTAGCCATCACAGGAGCATTTCAGCGAATTTGTACAAGTTCAATGCTCTATCATTTACAATAGAGTTCATGATCTCAGTTCACAGCATTTTCTTTATCCATGAGGATGCTAAAATAAGCAGCGGGACTCAAATCCTGTTATCTAAAACTGGAGTCAGGTTTCTTTCCCTTTTTTCCCCCCCGTGACTAGGACCTAAAGGATCAGACAGTTTCCTTAAATGTTCCAGAAATAAGTCAAAGTTGGGTAAAATATGAAATAAAGAAATGGAATAATAGAATAAGAAGACTTTTAAAAAGAAAGTTAGAGAAAGAAAAGTTAGAGGAATAAAAGTAAAACAGGAAAAAGTAGAAAGTGGTAGATTCTGATCCAGCCCTGTAGTGTTTATTGAAGGGAATTGAAAGGCCCTCTTTCCTGGAATTTGTTCTGACTGACTTGATCCAATTCTTGAAATTCTAACAATTTATATTTACTCCCTTGAATAAAGAAAACCCCTTTAAAGATGCATATGCCATTATTGCCACCACTATCTAAGATTTCTTCACTGTGTACCATATGCCAGCCACAGTGCTGCATGGATTACCCTAAGGAAATATAGCATAGAGATCGTTAATGTCTGCTAAAATATTAGCCCAGGATATTTATCTGTTAAATGCTAAGACTAATGGTAGTGGGGAGAAGAGAAGGAGAAGGGAGTGTGGAAATCCTAGCGCTGGTGAGGGGCTCTGGGCCCAGGCTGCATTATCCTCTGAGGGACAACCCCTGAGTTTTGCTTCCCAGGATGAACCCCCTAAAAGGAGTGCTCTCCAAGTGGGTTGGGTCAGAGGGCAGGAATCTAGTCATTAAACTCCACAAATCCCATTTAATCTGAGCCACAGTGTGTCTTTCTAATTTATATCCTGTCTATTTCCAGAAGGAATTTGAGGTCACTCACAATAAAAAGCACACATGCCACAGAATTAAAAAGAAAATTTAAATAATCAGAGGTCAAACAGAACAGTGTTTCAAAGCGTTTTCCTCAAACTCAGGCTCCATTAGATGAGAACATTTTCTTGAAATTTACCTTCTGTAGTTTGTATTATGAAAGCAATGAGTATGTTTTTCACATTTCAAATGTAAAATTATATTTTATCAAGGATAATTTTGTTTAATCTAAAGATATTGCTCAGATATTCTGAATACTGGAGAGATAATTGCCAGAGAAAAT